TTTCTTTTTCTGAAGAAGTCCCCACACCTATCTAAGAGTTTTTTTTCAATGCCTTCGGCTTGCACCGGAATGTGAGCCGACAGAAGGGTCTAAACAGAGTGAGGGTCCAGGTGGAGCCCAATTTAAGCTTGTTTGTGGTTGCCATGACCCAGATGACTAGGAATATACTGTACGTATACACAACATGTTTACTGCTGAGAAGGCACAGCATTTCTGAACTCCCAGTAAAAGTTTTGGATCATTCTGTCATCTTATGTCTACATTTTAGTCGTCAGAGCTGCTGGCAGTTGTTGGTCTTTCTAAAGAAGGCTCAATTAGATCTGTTCAGTTCTTTCCTTTATTTAGATCTTTGACAACACACCAAAATACCCTTAATCGCCTACCTGCACAAATTGTTCTAAAATGTTTTGTTTGACCACAATAATCGGCACAAGCAGCTAATTTTTAAACTGTAAGTTTAGAGAGCTAGACAGGTTTGTTTGGGTTTCACTGTTGTGTCACAAAGCAAAGCATTTCTTTAGACCACTATGGTAACCATGCTGCAGGTTGATCTGCCCTTGTGCAAAGTATTTTTTTTCCCCAAGATTAGATTAAAGAGCTTGACTAGTCACCAATCAAACCCTCAAAACAAACCTCCCACACACAAAAGAACTTGTGACAGTGGGACTCTAAGACTCAATCTAGCCATCTTTGAAAACAGAAAATGAATGAATTCCCTTTAAAGAAACTGTGCAATGTTAAGGCAGAAGGAATAAAAAAAGCTTAAATCAAGGTTTTGATTCTGGGAACATATCAAAGGGCCACAACTCCAGAGAACGGAATGTCGATGCATGGAAATTAACTTCCCCTCAACATAAGCAGTATTGAGGCTTGATGAAGACAATACCACTGGATGGACGGGAGCTTATTACCCACGAAGACCTGGAGGCAATGTGAGGTGCTTAAAGAAGAAACCCCCACCCTTACCACCTCTAAATTTGACACCTGATGACCTCTGTAGTATCAGATAATCCTGACAGGAGGTTTTGTTAAAGGCCAAGAAAGGAGGGAAAAGTTTAGTTGAGAACATGATCTGACACTCACGACCTAAATCACAGGAAAATTGTGAAACCTAAAAGTACTACAAACTTTATTTGTACACTATCAGAGATGGCAAAAGTACTCACTTTCCATACTTGAGTAAAAGTACAGATACTTGTGTTAAAAAATACTCTGGTAAAAGTGGAAGTACTGATTAAACTTCTTGACT